CAGGACTTGAGGGCCTCGCCACTGAGAACTATACCGCTACGTTGGGAGTGTATAACAACTGTTTGTTCACTATCTTCATCTAGCCATATCACTCCTTTCGATTTTGATCGAAGCTCTGATATTAAGATTATTTCCCATCTTTTGCCTTGTGCATACGTAATTACTCTCTTCAGTCGGTTTCTGTTTCTTTCGTGGACTGATAACCCTTGTAGGTTCCATGCTGTTACCGTAATACTCGGCTGCCCCTCGGGGGGAGTGGGTAATCTTATTTGTCTTCTCTTCTGTCTGCGAGCTTCCCGGTGTTCTTCAGTGGGGCGTCTCATTTTTCCTCTTCTTGTTTTCTCCCCTTTGTCCGAGTCTTTTTGCCGCAGAAGATGTTGCGCGGGGTTTTCGCAACTGTCTGTGCCCCTGGTTTCTTCTTCTTCAGGCTCCTGTCCGGGATGGAGGCAGGGACTCTTCGGTTCCTCTCTTTGCGGGAGCTCGTTTGTCAGTGTTGGGCCCTGCGCGGGGTTGTCGCAGGTATTTGTTCCCCTCGGTTCACCCTCTGCTGACTCCTGGTCGAGGTGGGGCCAGGGAGCTTGTTCCCTTGGTTCCCTTGTGTCTGTTCCGTTTGCTTCCTCTGGCTCCTGCGCGGGGTTTTCGCAGGGTTTTTCTCCCCTCGTTTCAACCTCGGGAAACTCCCTGTTAGGGTTCGACAGAGCGGAACTGCATTTGGTGCACTCAAATGCATATCGGTTGGCTTTAGCTAGCTGTTGGATCTCTTGCCGGGATAGACCGCTACATCCTTGGTGTATCCATTGTTCGCACCATGTGCATTTCACGCTGTTGCTTGTTACTTTCTTCCTGCATTCTCCGCACAGCGTGGGTCCCGGATTCTTCTCAACGTCTCCGGCCCTCGTTATTAGCTGACCCAGATGGGCCAGTCCCGAGTCAGCGACAAAAAACCCGACACACTCGAACCTGGGGGAGGTTCTGGCCACAATGTTGTTGTAAGAGGTGCTCTGACTGGCTGGGTCTGCGCCACTCTGTTGGTATTCCGGGGGGTTTTGGGTCCTCGCCGTTCCCGGTTTGTTCCCTTCCGTTCCGAAAACCCTGTGTGTTCTTTGCCGCACAGATAACTCGTGCGTTTCCCGCTTGTCCCGCTCGGAGGGTACACACGCACAAGCCTCTCAGGGCACTCCGAGATGTTGGGAGTTCTTCGTCCAAATATAAGTGCAATGAGATTTCGTCGCAATGAGATTTCGTTTGGTTGTAAATGTAGTAACTTTTACAATGAAAGGAATCTAATTTGCAAACAATTTACTATCATGATTATTATTATGATTATTATTATTTAGTAATTTTTTAAAATAGAAATCAGAAAATTGAATTTTTTTTTCAATTTTCAAATTCCCTACCCTGTAGTTAAGGGCTCTCCGATTACTCTCAGTGGTTGCGAAATTTGCCCCCAAGAATTGACTGCTTAAATCTTCATAGTTTTCCAGATATGACGATAAGACGTTTTCTGATTTTTTTTTCGAAATTTTTGTAAGAAAAGTGAAGTTTGAAGGTCTCGAATTTTGAAATTTCCAACCCTGTAGTTGGGTGCTGTAAGAATACTCTCAAGGGTTGCAACTCTTGTCTCCAAACTTGACTGCTAAAATCCGTGTAGTTTACGAGATACGACCTGTTAAATGATTTTTTTTTTTAATTTTCAGAAACTTAACAATTTAAAATTTAACAATTCAAAACATTTGAAGTTCTCAGCCTGAGAGTTCTTCTGCGAGGGTACCCTCTGGAGTTCAAAGTTGCAAATAGTGCGTTCAAATGCGGCTGCTCAATGCCCTTCTTAATTTCCGAGGTGTGACGTTACTTGTCTTCTTAAATGTTCAGATAACTTGGATATTAAAATTTTGGTAGAATTTGAACTTCACATATCTATAGTAAGTTTTTGTTAGGGCACTCCTAGAGATTAGGAGTTATTTGTCCAAATATGACTGCTTAAGTTCTTGTAGTTTTCGAGATATGACCTTTTTAGTGATTTGTTTTTTTTTCAAAAAAGTTCAGAAATTTTTATAATTGGCATAATCCCAGCCCTGTAGTTGGTGTCTGTCTGATTACTCTCCGTGATTGCAAATCGTGCCCCCAAGTATGACTGCTCAAATCTTAATAATTTTCTAGATGTGACGATAAGACGTTTTCAAATTTTTTCTTAATTTTTGTAAGAAAAGTGAAGTTTGAAGTTTTTCGAGTTTTGAAATTTCCAACCCTGTAGTTGGGTTCTGTAAGAGTACTTTCAAGGATTGCAATTCTTGCCTCCAAGTTGGGCTGCTCAAATCCTTGTAAATTCCGAGATACTACGTGTTTGGTTTCTTATTTTTCAGAAACTTAGATTTTAAAAAGTTCAAAAGATATGAATTTCACAGCATTCTAGTTGGATACTGCGAGGGTACCCTCTGGAGTTCAAAAATTCAAATAATGAAGTCAAATGCGACTGCCTAATGCCCTTAGCTTTCAAAAATGTGACGTTTTTCTTTAATGTTCAGAGAACTTGGATATAAATATTTTTCACATGTTCCTAGTTTTCCCGTCACGGATGGTTTTATAGTGTTCTGTCACTTTCAGTTTTTTTCCTGAAATCGAGTTCTTATAGTTCAATGCCCCTGCGCTCAGCAAGGGTTGTGCAACTGGTTACTAAGGCTTCGTTCACAAGATAGTCTATTTAGTAGGAAAACTACGCATGCCCAGTTTCTTGGAAGGGTACTTAAAATTACCATGTTTTAGGTTAGGCATTAATTGTTTTTCAATTAAATTTCTTGAAAAGTTTTTTTTTGGATTCGCGGTTTTCATCATAGTTTCCGTCGGTTCATTTTCCGATTTTTCATTGGCTCACTTTTCAAAGAATTGGTTTTACTATAATGGAAAAGTCTCTTATTTAAATTTTACCTAGTCTGAATTTGAATATTTTTTGTTTTATGAAAGTTTTATAAATTGGAAATTTACCAAGTCGGTTTTTGAAATTTCATCGTTTATTTCGAGAGCAAATTATATTTTGATGAGTCTTTTCTATATGTTTCAGTACGGATGGGCATAAAAACTTTAACAACTTCAACTTTTTTCATGACAAGTTTTGTTTCTTAAATTTTTTCGCCTTAGTTACCGCTCGGTTGTAGTTTTTTTCAAGTAAATACTTCTCGAACTTGCGTCTTTTTTTCTATTCAATATCTTGTAAGGCAATCTTGTTGTATCGCAAGTTTTTTATAAATTAGCTTTATGTTGAAAAAGTTTTCAGAAAATTTTTAAATTGAAATGGCAACTGAAGTTTTGTTGAATTGTTTCTTTTTTAATCTGTTTTACTGTTTTTTAGTTATGTTTATGTCCATAAATTAAACTTTCAGAGGTAGCTTTGCTGTGGTGAGTACTTAAGCTCTTGTTTTCCCTTCAAACGCAATGAATCTTTTTTTGGCAAGTTTGTAAAACCAATTGTTCTGAGCCCCTAAATAATCTAAGATTTGCCACATTGATGCCTCGAAGATCAATCAGATAAGGACATACTTTCTGATTGATTAACTACCCGTATATAGGTTTGATTTTGTATAGGAAAATGAAAATTTGTTCACGCTCAAAATTGATTTTTCGCGGTGTGACTTTTTTAGTGCACTTCGTTTCCTATGTTGAAAGAAGGCAAACTCCACTATCCATTAGCAAAATTGTAAAGATCACGAAAAACTGATCAACTTCTAGTTTTGAAAATGGTACTTTATCGGATTTACCAGCTAGATAAAAGTTTTACTGACTCAGTTTTCTCAAATTGTGTTAGTCTCATCAAAAAAGCACCAATCATAAATTTTTCGTGAAATTCAAAGAGCTTTCAAGGGCTTATTATTTTCCAAAAAATTAAGTCATTGTTTTTTCTGTTTCCTTGCGTTCATTACTTTTTTCCAATTCTCAATTGGCTTTGTTTTCGCTTGCGATAGCAAGTGACTTGTAATCGGGAACTAAGACTTATTCAAATAATTTTTTCTTTACAGTATCATGTAATGCAATGTTATGTTTTGATTGTATCGCAAGTGCTATGAAGCTCCGCTTGCATCTGTGCTTTAATGATTAATGTGTTTTTTAGATAAATATGTGGCAGTAAATACTTTGTTGATGTCATCATGAGGTTTGGCCGAAGAGCAGCCCCTATCGGAGATCTGTCATTACGCGGCCAAACTGTGCATTGTATGCGGATTCCACGACAGGCCAAAATCAGATTTGTCGCGGAATCCACATCATTGCTACTTTTCTTTGATCATCTTTGCTGTTATGGATTCCACAAACAAATACTTAAAACACTGTTCAACTCAAAAACGCTCCAAAATAGACGAATTTGCGGAATCCGCAACCGTATTTGCGGAATGCAGGACAGTTTGTGGAGTCCGCAAACAAACAATAAGACATGTGTATAGCTAATTTGAGCTGTTACGGAATCCGCAACTGTAAGTGGAATCCGCAAATTGTAAGTGGAATCCGCATTTTGTTTGCGGATTCCGTTTACATATATGTATATATGTAGTAACGTTTAAAATTATATTTTTAATTACATGATTCGATTTCACTAGGATAGGAATTTACTAGATCAGCGTTTGGGATTAATGGAATCCCAAATACTGACCAGTATTTGGGATCGATGAGTTTCCAATTACTGAACTGATTTGACGATTTGCTATGCGTTGTGTTTCTAATCACTCTCAACCTAATGACTCCAAATAATGAATTTATTCCATATTATTTCAGTTTTTGGGATTCAATCAATCCCAAATACTGACCAGTATTTTGAATCGATGGAATCCCAAATACTTACCTAATTTGGCGATATGCTGTGTGTTTTGCTTCCATACACTCTGAACCCAATGACTACAATTACTGTATTTATTCGGCGTTATGCATCGAAAATCATAATATTGAAATTATTCGGTGTTGTGTTTCCAAAAAACTAAAGGATGACATCCACCGGTTTAGGTAATCTATGTTTTAAGACTTGTTCGTGGATTCCGCTGACAATGGTTGAGTCCTTGCTTTTAAATTCCGCATTGCTAGAGATAAGAATTCCAGCTCTAGCTTTGAATTGTTCATATGCAAGTTCAGTAATAAACAAAATTCGGAATCCACTTGCAGTTCGCAGAATCCGCTTACATTTGCGGATTCCGCTTACATTTTGCGGAATCCAAAACGACTGGCTTTATTCGCTTGCTGCCGAATCCGCGACACAACAAATGGGCCGACAAAATTTATGTTACACTCATATGTACTCGGAATCCACGGAAGTTTTGTAAGTGGAATCCACTTACATTTTGGAACATGTTTAAAGATTAGTTTCTGGAATCCAGGAACATACCGACACAAAATTGTGCGCCTATCCAGTGCACAGTTTGGCCTCGTAATGGTGGTGGATACAGAAGATGAAGTGAAACAATAATCTACTTCTGGCAGAGCTGTTGCAATTGCTGTGCTATCAGTTGGTCTGCTGTTTCGTCTCTCTTATTGATATTTTTTGTCTGGTGGTGGGATGGGACTGTTGTTGTTCTTCGGCTGCACCCTCATTTCCTTCGGCCCCGTCTCCTCCCTCTTCGCCCTGTTCGTGTGTCGCAACCCCATCCGACAAGTTCTCTTCTTCGTCGCCACCTTCTTCGCCCTTCTCACTGTCGCCATCGCATCACTCCTATGGTCAGTTGCACTGCAATACTAATGCTTGAGAAACTAACAAGCTATCCCTTTTTATGTACAGGCTATCCCTTTGTAACAAAAAACTGTATTCTCTATGAAGTGCCATTCAGAACAGGAAGAACGGGCGTTGTCTGCGGACAACATGGTCGTCTGACTATTCAAGTCTGAGTATGGGATTACAGATTTGGGTTGCTCAATTTCGCATCAATAGTAGTCATATTTCTGAAAAAGTACAATTTGGTCAAAAAGGCGCGTTATGCTGCCCAATTTCAGCCTCGATTTTGCGGCCGGTTTTTCGCCCGAGAACACTTCGATAAAATTGGTTTAATTTGTATTAAGTTTATGTATTTTCTTAGTATTTTCTAAATCATTATGATTACATTTTCAATGAATGCTACTACAGATAAGAATTGATCACCATTAGGGTAGGCGCTAAGTGGGTTTGTTCAACCCTTTGCCTATCCTCGCTGCCTGCTTCTACCATGGACCACACTCTATTGGTAACAACTAGTCATCTTTGTAGAATAATGAAATGATTGCTACTCTTATCCACCTCGCCGTCATCTTTTGTCAATTTTTTAATGTTTTGGTGAAAAAGATGTTGGTTTATTGAGCGCGCATGTAATGCTCTTGGAGGCATTAGTGTCCGTGATCTCCTAGTTGATGTGTATGTGTTTGTATATTGCATTTAGGTTCGCCCTGTCGCCTCTGACTCAATCGACGCTATACACTCTGCCTGTAAGTGTGCTATTGGTGGAGGCAGGGAGACTGTTGTCGTTCCACATCACCGGCAGAGTGAAGGAGAACTTCTCCAGCCAGCTTAATGAGTCAGATCTCAAACTGAACAGTCGACATGTCATCAGTCTCGGTAGGGAACAGACACACGCAAATACTCAGGGGAAAGGAATACCAAAGTTACGTCACAGAGTATACACACCAGCCAAAAGTTTGGCCATTTGTATAGAATTTAATGATTTTCATAAAAGTCACTTGACCTTTAAATCACTAGCTTTGTTAAAGAATTGTATGAGGCATCAGGTTCATATACTTAAACCGGCTATCTTAAGGTGTATATCGCCAGGAAATTGTCGTACATACCTCTAAAATGGTCCACTTTATTAAGCGACGTTTTTTTGTTAGAGTAAAAAGTTACTTTTTTGATACCTTTGTTCTTCAGAAATTGTATTTTATGTTAATTCCCCTCTCATGTTTTTGTAATTAAATTTATTCGAATGTCTTTCATTTAAGTGCAGCATCCTGCAATCCAAATGCATTCGTTCGCTGTCCTCTCCTGGTTGCTAAAAAGTTTGTTTAACTTATATTTGGTTGATATGCCGTTTTGTAAAAACGAGAAATTAATTCTTCCTATTCAATATCTAACTGGAGCTGATTTTTTTTAAAATATGAATATGACCTGTTTCCGCTCCAAATCCGAGGATCCTATGGAATATGATTTTTTAAAAGAAATAAACTGTTGTCATGCTAAACAGAAAGTTACAGTGTGGGTAAACTAAGCTAATAATATGATTCTGGCCTGGCAGACTATCTGCAGTTGTCCTTTGAAAGATCCACGAAATAGACACTCGAAATAGAAAAAATTAATGAGCGGAGAGGTGTTTAGTGTTCGGAGTGGGCTTTGGCTTCGTGAGTGGCTTCATATCGATGCCAGTCATCCTGCAGCAACTAACTGGACCGGCAAACTTTGGACTCATGTCGTCCCATGGACAATACTTCGCAGTTTGCTCCAGTTAGTAACATTAAGTGCCTAGTAATCATTGCATTTGGTAAATAATTTAAGATGGAAAAAGTATCAAAAAAGGTCCTTTCTGGTTCGTATTTTTTTTGCTTTGCAGCAACACTTTTTGGGTTGCAAATGTCAATTTTATCGACTTCAAACTTGACTTGATATTGTGTGCATGTGTTTGTAAATAGTCGGTGTGTTTAAGGTGCTCTGTGCATGTTTTTCACTCTGATGAACTGCTGGTGGAATGTGGTCTTCTTTGAGGCACTCCAGCTGCGGAACTACACATGGGCTGTCGCTGTAGTATCTCTCCACATGCTAGCATCCACTGCTGTGAGTTGTCCTGCATTAGACCGTTGGTTGTTCGCACTTGCCTCATTTTCTCAGAAATCATGCCATATCTGAGATTCAGTTTTCTGTCGAAAAAACAGGTTGTAGAGCGGCTGCTCCCTAATTTGGTAACTACTATGGATTTGGGCGCATCGCCTCCATCATTACACAATATTTGTTTCATTGTTTTGCTTACAATTTTTTCTTTTCTCGTTTTTACGCTTGCGATTAGCAAGCGTTATTAAATCGGAATGTAGACTTTATGAATTCAAACTTCTTGGCGTTCCAGGCCGACTTAGCTTGGAGGTAACGAATATGCCTGGGACGTCAGAGGTCCTTGTTTCGAATCTGACCAAGTCCTTTTTTTCAAATGGAAATTTTCTGTTTCAAATAAAATTGTCGTCCTAATATTTGCCTTTGTTGTCTTAGCTGCCACATCTAAAAATCGTCTTTTTTGCTGTACATATTATTTTTTATTGTAGTTGCTCTTAGCGTTTCAGTAGTTTAAAAATCCGGTCGAATCGAAATTTTGTTTTCAAATTGGCTGTAATTTTACCAACTCGATTAGTTAAAATTTTCGTTTTTTAATTTCATCTTTTTTTCTGCTTAATTGGTTTCGCTTTTTAACATCGATTTACTGGCCCCTTTTTGCGTCTTTTGACGTCCAACAAAAGTTCTGCGCGTATGTGTGTTCTGAGGGGAAAGAAAATTTTTTTGTTAGTTCGAATTTTTTCGTCTTGAAGGGTTTCTGCTCAGGTGTTTTCGGCTTTGTTAAACTTATGAATCACTAGGCAGCTCAGAAGCTCAATTTCATGAAAATTCAAACTTAAATACTGGGTGGGTACTAGCTACTACAGGGCAGTTTCAGGGGGCGACTTGAAACTTGAGTTGTTTTTACAAAATCTTGAGTTGTTTTTTTTTCGGCTGAAGTGGTATCTGCTCAAAGATCGTCGGCCTTGTTTCCGCTTCGTAAGTTTTGTTCTATTGCTAATTTGAATTTGGAATTTCTTGCTTGACTTGTTTGCCTGGAATTTGTGTTAAGTAAAAACAGGTTGATGAAAATGTATGGGATTGGGTTTTTGAACGCGTTGGAAAATTTTATCGCTTTTTGCTAAAAAAAATTAGTTTCAGAAACTCTTTTACCGATTTTTTTAAAAAATCATAAAGTCCATAGAAAGAGCGCCTAATTTCTTCTTTGTCTGTAAACTCCTCTGGTATCTTTTTGCTTTACCCCTTTATTAACTCCAGCCTTTGAAAAGGTCTGTGGGGGGAATATTTGACCGTTATTTTTGATTTTTTTCCAAAAACTAACTCACTATATCTGAGATTTTAGTTTTAATGAATTGTAGTGATTTAAAAGCTCAACTCCAGTAGCGGCTACGCTCAATTTTTTTTTCAACTCATAAAATTATGGCCCTGGGAATAGTGAAATTTTGATTTTTGTGACCGTTTTTTGAGTCTTTGGTTTAACTACCCTGCCAAACCTGGGTTTTTGGATTCAATCGGAATTACAGGTTGTGCAAATCTCTTCTGCATAAATGGCTTAGCCCAAATTTTTTACGAAACAAAATATGATTCTCGGAGGTGTCAACTTCATGATTTGTTGACCATTTTTTGGAGTTGTCTCGATAACTAACGTGACAAATCTGGTATCATAGGTTTAATCGACTCAAAAAGGTGGTGGAAGCTTAGCTTTGCAAGTTGCCATGCATCTTTTCTTCTAGGCTATTCCTTGTTTTTTTGTAAGAGAATTCTTACGTCTGTGGAAAAAGTCCAAAATCTCAAAAAAGTGTACTCTTGTTTCTTATTTTAGTAGCGAAATAGCTGCGGTTTTTTGACAAAGTCTGGATCTTGTTAAGTATCCCCCCTTATTTCGATTTTCAGAAATTCAACTTAGACGGCCTTATTTTCAATAGCTTAAAACAAGTTTCATAAAATCGATATAATTAAAAAATTTTACGTAGGTATTATATAAATAGTGAGTTAGACAAATACGAACGCGCGAAAATGAAAACTCAATTAATTGTTAACATTTTGAAATGCATATTTTATACAGAAATGGTTGTCAAAATTAATAGATGCATAGGGGGCAGGGGAATAGTTAACAAGATTCAAAAGGGGGGATAGCGAACAAGAGCCCAAAGTCTAATTTTTGAAATTACGCATTTCAAAAACTTACGTCCTGGGCACGACGTTTAACAGCATCCCTGCCCTGCCTCAAAAGATTTGTGTTCAGTGATTTGTGTCAGTGCAGGGCCTCTTCTTTCCTGGGCAAGACTGAATTTTTGGGGGTAGATTGAACTTTTTGGGGTAGATTGAACTCCTTAGCCCTGGGTGGCAGTCAGTCTAGGAGAATAAAACTCCAAATTTAAATTGAACAAGGGGGTCCTTTGGTCCTGTGGGTGGGATCAGGCGCGCATTCTTGTAGCCCCCCTTCTCAGGGTCAAGAGCACTTCTCAGGGTCAAGAGCTGTCACAGCCAGGGTGGCAGGGTTTCTGTGGTAGGCATCATTATACTGATATTCTGCTGCAGGAGCTACAGTGGTTCTGCGATTGTTCCCCCACAGGGTGGGCATTCGGAGAGGCACACAGCCTGGGTGCGGGAACGGCGGTTTTTTCTCTGTCAGCTGTAATGTCAGAGTTGGGATGAGAGCTAGGACGAGGCGGTCCTGTAAAAACATTTATGACACCAATCTCATCGCAAGTCTAATTTCTACAGTAGAGATAGGCGGTTTCGGCAGCCGTCATAGACAGACTGCTGGTTGCGTCTCGGGCTTGGCTGACTCCCGGGTGCGGGAGGGAGGGTCTGGTCATCGCGGCAAATCAAGCGAGCACCCGGAAAAGTTCAGGGTGGCCACTTGGAATGTGGGCACCCTAAAGAAGAGACAGTGTGAGGTGGTAGAGACACTGACGAGAGTGGACCGGTGTAGTGTGTCGGAGCACAGGTGGGATGGTGGCTTAACAGCCAACCAGTCTCGTATTCTCAAGGGTAAGCATTGCAGATACAAGTTCTTCTGGTGTGGGAACAGCAAAGGACAGGGTGGAATTGGGATACTGTTGGCTGAGCGTTGGGTGGACAAGGTATTCGAAGTCCAGCGTATCTCCGACAGAATTCTCTAACTGAAGCTTGTCATTGGCAGGGCGGTTTTCACCTTTCTTGCTGTCTATGCCCCTCAAGTTGGACTGCCTGAAGTTGAAAAGGAGCGATTCTACGATCAGTTGCAGAGCACTGTCACCAGCGTTCCTGCTTCGGAGATACTTGTATCGCTGGGGGACTGGAACGGTCATGTTGGTGCTGACGCTGATGGTTCGATGAAGTCCACGGTGGGTAGGGTTTCGGCGTCCGAAATGCTGAGGGTGTGAGGATCCTGGAGTTTGCCTTGGCTAACGACCTGCGTGTAGGCAACACCTGGTTTAAGAAGAGGGAATCTCACCTCATCACATACAGCTCTGGTGACTACAGAACCCAGATTGACTACATCCTTTTCCGCAAGAACTTCAACAAGGCAGTAGGTAATGTCAAGGTCATACCGAATGAGGAATGCGTTCAACAGCACCATCTGGTTGTTTGTGACTTCTCAGTCCACATGCCCGCTGTGAAGAAGCGCAAGTTTACTCCCCGTATCCGCTCCTGGAAGCGCATGGATCCTGCTACTGCGGGCCAGTTCCATGCCGTCTCCAGGGATAAGGTGGCTATTGTTGCTACCAATGACGGCACTCCAAACTCGGTGGAGGAGGCATGGACCAAGCTAAAGGGCCCACTCCTTGAGGCGGCCACTGAAGTGTGCGGCCTCTCCAAACAACACCAGTGGAAGCCGGACACTTGGTGGTGGAACGGAAGTGTGGAAGAGGTGGTGAGAGAGAAACGGGCATGCTTTAAAACCTACAACAACCTGAAGAAATTAGGCATGACGGCTGAGGCGAAAGACGCTAAAACTGCTTACAATGAGGCCAAACGTGTGGCCAAACACGTCATCTGGCTGGCCAAGTCTGAGGCAGAAAAAGCCGAATTCGCCAACATTCCCCCTGATGGCGGCAGTGTCTGCCGGATTGCCAAGCAGATGGACCGTACAAATCAGGACGTTTCGGGTGAGAAATCTGTTCGTAATGATGCAGGTGAGCTCTCGCTCAGTGATGAGGACAAGATGAAAGCGTGGGTGGAGCACTACGCGAGACTGCTAAACGTCGAGTTCGAGTGGTCTTGCGACCTGCTCCCTGAAGTACCGCCTGTTGCAGGTCCCCCTCCAAGTGTGTCTGCTGTAATGATCCGTAAAGCTCTCAGCAAAATGAAGATAGGTAAGGCTGCTGGCCCATCTGGTATCATAGCTGAGATGCTGAAAGCATCTGGTGAGGAGGGAGTTGAGCTAGCCTCGCAACTGGCTGAGGCAGTCTTTGGCAGCGGTGAGATCCTTAAAGACTGGGAGGAGAGCTTCATCCTGAACCTCTTCAAAGGTAAAGGTGAAGCGCTAGATCGCGGTAACTATCGTGGCCTTAAGCTTACACACTAGGTCATGAAACTGCTGGAACATGTGTTGGACCCTCTCATCAGCAACATGATGGACGTTAATGAAATGCAGTTTGGTTTCGTGCCGGGCAGGGGAACAACTGATGCCATCTTTATTGTCCGCCAGTTGCAAGAGAAGTATATCGCAGCGAAGAAGCCACTCTATTTCGCCTTTGTGGATCTGAAGAAAACTTTCGATCGAGTGCCAAGAAAAGTCCTCTGGTGTCGAGGAATGGGCGATACACCAGTGCCAGGAGCCGCGTGCGGGTCAACGGACAGTACAGTAAGGAGTTTGGAGTCGGAGTGGTTGTGCATCAAGGTTCAGTACTCAGCCCGCTGCTCTTCATCATGGTTCTGGAGGCGCTGTCACGCGAGTTCCGCATTGGCGTGCATAGGGAGATTCTGTACTCTGATGACCTTGTAAATATCGCTGACTCCATGGGGGAGTGCATCACCAAGCTGAAGGCCTGGAAGGCAAACATCGAGGAGAAAGGTTTGCGAGTAAACATGAAGAAGACTAAGATTCTAGACTCCGGTCTTGGCCTAGACCAGTTGCAGGACTCCGGCAAGTACCCCTGCGCAGTGTGTCGCAGAGAAGTACGCTCAAACTCGATTAGGTGCTCCCAATATAAACTCTGGGGACACAAGAAGTGTTGTGGCATTGCTGGGAGACTGTCTGCAGATCCGGAATTTGTCTGTCCAAGATGGTGGTGAGGCTCGTCCAATCGATGGAAGGCCTGAAACCCAACTGGACGTGGACGGAACCTTGCTGGATGTCGCTGTTACCTGGGAGATAAGCTGTGTGCGGGAGGAGGTTGTGAACGTGCCATCACTGCCAGATTTTGCGCAGCTTGGGGCAAGTTCAGGAGACTTATACCCATCCTGACAAGTAGACACTTGTCGCCAAGATCCGTGGCAAGATGTTCACTGCCTGCGTCGGTTCGACCATGCTCCATGGTAGTGAGACATGGGCACCAAATGCCCTGGACTTGCAGCGTCTCCGCCGAAATGATCGTTCAATGATTCGCTGGATCTGTGGCACCAAACTGGATGATGACATTTCCACGGCTGTACTTCACCAGAAACTGGGGGTCGTTGACATCACGTCTGTCCTACGAACACGACGTCTCAGGTGGTTCGTACACGTGCAACGTGCCTCGTCATGCATCAACTCCGTCACCAGGATGAAAATCTCCGGCCGCAGAGGTAGAGGGAGACCCAGAAAGACGTGGTCAGAGTGTGAGTAATGATGTTAATATCTGCAACCTGTTTGGCACCGATCCGCGGGACAGGGAAGGATGGAGAGCATGAGTTAGACGTTGCCAGGTGTTGCCAACCCCGGTGACTGGGACTACCGCAGCACCTTATACCAAAACCGGTTATCATGATGATGATGATGATTTCGTTCTCTGGGCCCTAGGTGTCCCTCATTTTGGTTCACAACGAAGTGTGAAGTTCTCGGTGTAAAGTGAAGGAACTTTGGCGTAGGCTGCCTTGTTTTTCCCGCCCAATTTTTGGTGCCTCGAAGATAGCTAGCAAGGGGGTCAAATGTAGTATCGTATTAAAGCACTGTTAATTAAACTTCGGCTTCCAGCAAAAACTCCAGAGAAATTGGTCTGAATTTTTCCGTTTTTCAGACCGAATTTTTAGATGACAAGATGCGAACTTCCAATTTTCTGCGCTGCGGTTTATACATTTCAAAGATATTTTTGCGTTTGATTTTTGAAAATGAGGTTTTGAATTATGGGCGGCAGTGGAAAAAAGCCCTGGTTTTGGTAAAGAACCTGAGGATAATGTCGACTGGATTTATTCTGGTTCTCACGTGACATTTCGAAATTAGTTGTTCAAGAGTCGGTGAACGTAGTTCAGACTCTTATATACAGGGTGATCCAAAACCTATGAAACTGAATTGACGTAGACCCATAAAAATTTAACATGAAGAAATGTAGAAATTTGATTATTCATAAAAGAATAATCATTTTAAGAGATGCTGGAAATTTTTTCTGCGATTTCCTTGTCATTTTATAATGCGTTCGCGGGCTAAAGCTGATAAAATTTGAGACCGTGTGGAGTTAAAATCTTGATACTGTGTTAAAAATTACAAATAAAACGTTTCTCTCAATCCGTTCTGTTATTTTCTGCAGTCTACACTTTGTAGGGAAAAAACTTCAAATCTCGCATCACAATCTGCCATAAACTGGTGTAGGAGAGAGATGTCGAGTGTTCTTCATGATCGACTTCTTATTTAGCAGGCTTGATTTAGGGTTGTTTTCATAGTGTTTTTTGAAACTCTGAGAATTTTCATTAAGAAACTTTGGACCCACACCTCTGTTGGTAACCTGTCTCGGAAACGTTCCCATTCGCGTCGAAAATCTGCTAGAGTAATCTTGCTCTTGCCTGTTTGCTTCCCCAGTATGGCGTATTTTTCGAGAAACGTACGCTTTGCTACATTTGTAGACAATCCTTCAGCAAACTGACAAAAAATAAATTAGCTTTTCATCTGTTATTTTCATATCTGCGAGATTTAAGAAATTAGCGTGAATAATTCTTTAAAGCTTGATTAATAATCAAGAAAATGGCGCCCTTTTTTATGTTTCTTTGGAAAAATTATTTGTTTTCGAGTTGTGAAAATGATTTCTTACAGAAAGACATCTAAGACGTTCAGTTTTGATAACTCGAAAACAAATAATTTTTCAAGAAAGAACGAAAAGAACGTCTCAGATGTCTTTCTGTAAGAAATCATTTCACAAGTCAGTTCAGTTAGCAATGACAGTCTTTTCAAAAAAGTGTCATAGGTTATAAGTTGCCCTGTAGGTCGTTACGATTTTTTTTTTTTCGTTTATGTTCAGGCTGAAATTCACTTTTTCGGGGATTTTTTTCTTCAATTTTTTTCATTTCCTTTTTTGAATGGAAGGCAAATTTCAGTATTGAACATCGAAATTGTAAAAGTAAAGAAAAACGTGATCGACTTTTTATTATGAAAGTAGATTTTAATTTTCAGATTTCTCAGCGAAATGTAATATTTACTTATTGATCTTGTTTTCTCATATTGGGTGAATTTTGTCAAAAAGTGGCAATTCACCACAAATAGTTCTGGAAATTCATCTATTTTTTGAAGTTAATTCGAAAAAGTATCAGGTATCCTGAGTTTTATAGATCAGTAACCCGAGTGTAACTGCACAATTTAATAAAATTCAGGTGAGAAAATAGTGAGTGTGCAGTGAGGAGTTGGACTGTTAACATCAATACCTGGCCAGCAGTAACGTCGCATTACCTTTCGTGTTCTTTGAAGTTCGAAAGTTTTTTCAAAGTCAGTATTTTTTGTTTACTTGCGTTCATTGACACTTCTTCAACTTTCTGTTGGCTATGTTTCCGAAGCGAACCGCGGTCTCTACGTTACAAGGTCGTGTTTTCAACCAAGTTTCAAATTTTTTCCATTTTTCGCTTTCCTTAAATTTTGCTTATGTTGAGAGTTGTTTTTGTTACGAGTTGGCGCGGTGCCTTTTTTCGTACATGATGTTATCGGGATCTTGTTAACAATCTCCCCCTTTTGGACCTGTTAACTATTCCCCCTCCCCCCTATGCATGTATTATTTTTGACAACCATTTCTGTATAAAATATGCTTTTCAAAAATGTCAACAATCAAGTGGGCTTTCGTTTTCGCGCTCGTATTTGTATTACTCACTTTTTATGTGATACCCACGTAAAAACTTTTAAATATTTTTTCTGAAAATTGTTTTAAGCTATTGAAAATAAGACAGCCAAAGTTGAATTTCTGAAAATCGAAATAGGGGAGAAATAGTTAACAAGATCCTGTAATCGTAGTCCATCACTTAATGTTGCAGACGTTCTTCAACAAATTCGAGCTGTACTACGTGTCTATCCCAGTAGTGCTCGGAATATTCTGTGTGAGTCTCACTTGGGCTCTTAGAGTGGCAGGGGTCACCAAACAGTCCCTCTACAACACCCTCACTCTAGCAGATGCCCCAATGGTCTCTTCTTCATTCAGAAGCCAGAGATCCTCAAACACACCGACGACACCGCACAACTGAAATACAATTACTGAAATACTGAAAAAGAACTCTTTGCCAGTATAGTAATTCCCTTTAAATTCATATGCCCTGATTTCTTAAAAAAATCTTTTTGTGAACATGGGGCTCCTAGGGAATTATTCGAACGTTCTGCAGATTAGAAAATTCATCAAGAGCTCTAACTCTAAATAAAGTTGCTATTGATTGTAATATTTGATTAGCTAAGTGTTTCATTCAACCTTAACGTTAGTATTTGACACTAGTTTCAAAGCGTCTAAGTTATAGTTTGCTTGAATTATGTCGTGTATAAAACGCTTTATATTAATCTTCTTGTGTATACTTTATATTAATCGTCTTGTTCTTTTATTCAAGAACTTTTGAGAAAAAATCTAGCAAGACGTGTTTATTCGTAATACACATAAAGAAAGAAAGAAAGAATTTATTTCTCATTGTTAATGGTAAATATGCATACATACAACGAGAATTTAAATATGAAGCACCAGAAACAGTGAGTGGACAGTTAACGAACCCAATTGGGTTACAGAGCACTGCCCGTTTTATCAAATGTAAGACGAAATTTGAGATCTTCAAAGACAAGGAAAAATATATAAATCTGAAAACTTAAAAGAAAATATTGGGAAAAAAAGTACTCAGGTTTGAATAAACATAAAGCAGCAGATTTCAGGCATTGTCTAGACAGGTATCTAGGCATTGTCTAGACAGATTAAAGCCCTTGTCTAGGGTATGTCGACCTTTTTTGAACTCTCCCTAGTCACCAAAAGGACCCTCCCTGTTTTGGTCAAATTTTCTGCGCTGCAGGCAAAGTTTTGGAAAAAAAATAGGCGTTTTTTTGCACTTTTTGGAAATTTTTGACCAAAAAATTGCGTTTTTTCGGCGCGCGCTCCCCCTCAAAATTAATATATATTGAAACGTTTCAGGTTCCGTCGCCACATCGGATTTCTCAAAATAGTACAAAGGTGGGACCCTTTGGGTCGGCAAGGGTTCGAAGCCCGGGGAGGGGGGGGGGGGGGGGGTGGTTGTGCGCCACCCCCCCTTGATCCGCCCCTGGTCTCAGGGGAGAATTTAGGGGCGCTATTGTTTAGGAGTGTCTCAGGGGCGCCAATATATACTAATTTTCAGGGGGAGCAAGCGCGGAAAAAAGCGATTTTTTGGTCAAAATTTACCAAAAAGTGCCTAAAAACGCTTTTTTTGGTCTGTTTTTTCTAAATTTTGCCTGCGACGCAAAAAATTTGGCCAAACAGAGCCTTTTTAATGCTTTGGGAGAGCTCGGAAATTCAATTTGCTCGACCAAAAGACAAAATTTTTTGAAAATCATCTCCCCCTCGAGAGAGCCCAAGATTAGCCCCTGAAATGTCTTATAATCGGGACCCAGACTTTTTTTACCGTAAACAACTTTTACACATTTTTTTTATTCACTTCTTCTCTTCTCTTAACATTTTCCAGTAGCGTCGTCGCCTTTCCATTAACACCGTCGCCGGTAACGCGTTGCCTTTGCACCCTAAAAACGGGTTCGAGTCTCGGCCAGATCTTTTTTTCAGCATGTATGCACTTGCAGTTTTTTCCGGTAAAAATTGAACTTTTGGAATTTCGTTGTTCTGCTCAAGTTTTGTCTTGCGCTGTAAGAAATTTTCATTTTAATTACAAGAACAAGTTGTTCGTTCTAAATTCTTTCTAGGCTATTTTTTCCTTGGATCAACTTGTGTCTGCTCAAAGATTGTCTGCTTTGTTTCTTCTTCGTTTATTTTGTTTCATTGCTAATTGAATTTTCAAAAGTGTGGCATATTTGCTTAGAATGAATTTCTATCGTGACATACGAAGTTTTAGTTTTTGGTAGACCTGGTTTCTTTTTCATTTTTTTAAATTACAGGGATTTTTTTCGTATTATAGGAATGATTTCAGATAGCGTTTTCTTCCATGGAATCATTCACGTAAAAATAATGGATGCTGGAGTGAAATTAGCTGGATTATCAATTGTTTCTGGGACTTCATTATGTGAGAGTTTTTATGCCCGGACTTTGGAATCATGCAAGTGTATGCCAAACCCAAGTTGAAGCCAAATAAAACAAAAGTTTAACGATGCCAAAACAACCTGTAAAATGAACAATAAAACATGTTTGCCTTTAGCCAGGATCCAATAAAACATCTAATTGTAATAGCTGCGCGTCTCTATGTATAATTTTGCTGGTATAACAGCAACCAGAAAGTCTGCATTAGTAAGTGAGAAAGAAAAGATGATTACTGTTTTCATCTCAGAAACAAGAGTCGTCCTGACCACTCGAGTACGTCTGACGAGTCTCACTGTGAACTGTGCTAATCATGCTCTAATTGTTCGCTTGTCAAAACCACCAACACTCAAAAGTGTTTAATCGTCTTTTTTCTCTGTCCAAAACTGCGGTTATTATTCGCAAATCTATCAAGTTGTTTGAAAATATGAAATAAATATTAATATACCCCTAGCAGCAACAACCAATCGTAAGTATCATACAAAGAATTTTAATTTGTACCACCATCGATTCAAAAACATAGGAACACGGTTTTAACCATAGTTTTTGTAATCAGTGGTAAAAATTGAACGCGAATTTCAGTGCAGTCCGCAGCTGACTTTCCTCTTAAACATTTTGCAAATTCGGGAGTTGGCGGATAATTAACAATTGATATGTCCGACTGCAGTATAAAGTTTTTCAGGCAACCATGGCGCAGAAACTGGGATGTGTGGCTTTAAAGTTCTCGATTTGGGGTTCGACTCCTGACGGAACATAGCTTTTTGTTTGTTAGTTTTACCATTTATTTTCTGTTTTTCACTTTCCGACCCTTTTTGAGCCACTTTTTGCCGTTTTTTGCTTGCGTTTGCGAAGAAACAGCTTCGCCACTGCGAGAAAATACAATCTGGGTCTGTTATACCGCAGCTTTTAAGTTTCTGAAAACGAAGTGAATCCACTTATTTAGTTCGATTTTTTCAAACTTCGTCTTTTGCGGCTTTATGTTTGGTACAACTGGTGCGAAAGTTGTTGTTACTTAAAAGAATATCCGGAATGGAAAAATTACATAGCTCACCAGTTTTCGCTAATTGTGTTAGTCCTATAAACATAATTGCTGGGTCCTGTGAAGAGATTTTGAATCCTAAAAGTACTTTTCGGGGCATGTTTTTTTTTCGGTAAAGTTCGTTAAGCTGAAACATCAGTTCGTATTTTTAGTTCCACTGTTTCATTGAATTTTTTAAACTCTGTTGGCTATGTTGCGAGCTATCTCTGGCATTGAGACTCTCTGGCATTGAGACTCTACTCTGGCATTGAGACTCTACTTCAACATAACACCGACAGGTTTAGCTACGAATGTTGTCAGCTACGATTTATTTCACAAGCTACGTTCTTTTTTCAACCAACTGTTATGTAACATAGTTTCATTTTGACTTGCGATCTATATGTATATTTATGCCAGCTGCGCGACGCACTTGAAAAATATGTGTTCGAAAGATAATATAGGGAAAATACCTGAGCCGAAAGAACCGAATGAATCGGTACAACTGGATTTTTGGGGGCCCATTAACTACTTGAAGGAGTCTAAAAAGTATGTTTTGGTGGCGGTGGATCGGTTCTCACGTTGGCCATCGGCTATGGTCTGTAATTCGAACCGATCGGATAAAATTATTAAATTTCTAAAAGCATACATTATTGCCCACGGAGTTCCGCGCCAAATTCGAGTTGACCAAGGAACAAACTTTATGTCTAAGGAGGTTAGGGCATTTTGTCATGAACAGGGAATTGAATTTCGCATCTCGCCAGTGAACGATCATAGGGCAACAGGATGTGTCGAACGCACGATTGACAGCATCAAGAACTCAGTTCTTACGTATGCGCGGGAGGATAAACCGGAACCCTTGGATCGGATGGTCGAAAGAGCCCTCGGAGCTTTAAGATTTGTTAAAAACGCCACCCTCAACAACACCGTTCGAAGCGCACCACGGCCGGGAAGCTAACACGGCTCTCAAAAATTTGACTAAAAAGCCTACTTTACGGAATCTAAATTGGGAAAATGTAATACGATCGAAACCTGCATGTTTAGATGAACGAGACCCAATCGCCCAAGCAATGCCGGAGCCTATGGATACCAACTGGGGAATCCGATCGGACACTGAGTACGACCAGATAAACAGGCTGATACCACTTAAATTGGCCGAGGACCAAGCTGCTAACCAGGATGATGAGCCTGGAATTGTGCGAGCACCAAGTGACCCAGTCGAAATAACACCGGCAGTGGTGATGCAGAGGACCGGGGAGCGGAATATGAATAGGTATAGACCATTAAATTCCAATATAAATACTCAAAGTGAGCATACTATTGAAATGAGTAATAGTGCTGTGCTTAGAAAATCGGGAGTAGCACTAAAGAAAGCAAAGGTTCTGAAAAAAAAACGGGCGCCGGGACAAATCGCGGCACCACCAACGCCATGGGACCTAAAACGGAAGTTACTAACGAGTAGTAGCCAACCAAGTAGCTCAAAAGGCACCAGGGGAACTTTCCATAGCACCGTGGGAAAGAAATCACGATTCCAAAATTTGGAAATCGTGGAGGACTCAGAATCGGACGCGGAGGACCATTTACCGCTAATTGCAACGAAACGGACGTTGGGCACCGCAGGCGTCAGTGTGAAGGCACCGGCACCGGAGGACGATGAATTCAGGAATTACGGAAACAATCCTTTACGACTACTAGGAACGATGGACGTCTTGTTGGAAACGAACGGATGGGTGAATTACGCGAATATCAGAGTGACTGGAGGAAGCAGACCATCAATTATTGGGAGAGACCTAATGCCAAATCTTGGATTGCAGATAGTGCAGAAGGCACCGGAGGAGAATGTGATGACGGTATAAAACGATCAATCTGGGGCCGAGGTAACAGAGGTGGAGGAGTCACTAGACCACTGGCAGACCTATTTCAGTAAGCAATTTGAAAACCTTTTTAACAGAGTCGGAAAAATTAAGAATTATAGGGTACACGCAGTTTTTTTCGAAACATTAACGCCGATTCAACAAAAAGGACGTGGAGTGCCCATCACATTGCAGGATAAGGTCGATAAAGAAATTAATAAACTTTAACGACAAGGACACATTGAAAAACTGAATGAATGTTCGGATAAGTATTTTGTTTCTCCGATTGTAATAACGGTGAAAAAGGACGGATCAGTAAAATTAGCGTTAGAATCCCAGGAGTTGAACAAGCAAGTCCACAAGAATAGGTACCAAATGCCGAATATTGAAGAGCTCATGGATACAGTAGGACAAACGATAAGCGAACGGAAACCAGGAGACGTATATTTTTCTAGTATGGATCTTACGTACGCGTACGGTCAATTACCACTTAGCCCGGAAACGAGCGTTCAATGCAATTTTTCGCTGGTGGGAGGAAAATCAACTGGCACGTTTTGCTTCCAAACGGGGTTCTACGGCCTTACAACCATGCCAGCGGAATTTCAGAGAGTGATGGATACGATCCTTTCGGAGTTTCCGCAGGCGCATGCCTTTATTGATGACATTCTATGACTCATTCTCTATCGCGATTGTAAATTACCACCTTCTTGGAACACTTGGAACCTGATCTAAACTACATTTTATTATTGGATAAATTAGATATTTTACCACTGTAAATTATTTAATAATAACCAATCATAATCCATCTAACTAACAACCCACTTATTTGTAAGTACTGAAATTACTTGTAATTTCAGCACCAGAGAGATTTGAATTCAACATAGAAATTAGTTACCTCTCCGAGAGAACTTCAGCAGTTGCAATAAGCCAGTATACTCTAGATCTATTGAGCCTAGCAGAGACTAGTTAAACACCCTGAGACTAGTAGATATAAGAGTAAGATTAGGATCGGTATTAGACTAAGAAGTTGCACGAATCTATCCGGCCGAAAATAAGATAGCGTGACGAGCAGACGGTGTACCCTATCCGAAATTAGTCTATGAGTTAACCTCAAGGACCTTACTCATCTGGTGCGACCATAAGTCTCGAATAAGACCTTAATAGCTTAGAATTAATCAAATATTGATTAGAAAATAGACAAAACATTTTCAAAATGTTACACGATAATAATTTAATTGAAATGTCTCTACGACTCAATAGATCAGAGCCGATTTTCCGCACAATACTAAAACTACCCGGTATTGGAAGAAGATCTCGGACAAGAGACGATATACCACTACGTAGAAACTTACCATTTAGTTTCATGGTTGTACGGCAAAAGCCAACACAAACTTTTATATTTAGAATCTTATTAGCAATGAATTTAAATTTTCATTTGCAAACTTAAAGTTTTGAAGTAAACCTTCATGATTATTTCAGGCGCTAAACAAAATTACTAACGTACAACGATTGATAAAAAGATCTCAAATCTTTTTCTCAACTTCTGCAGTATTATATAAAACATATTTGAAAAATATTTATTGAAAATAAAAATAAAAATTAGTAGCATGAAACTGCTGGAACATGTGTTGGACCCTCTCATCAGCAACATGATGGACGTTAATGAAATGCAATTTGGTTTCGTGCCGGGCAGGGGAACAACTGATGCCATCTTTATTGTCCGCCAGTTGCAAGAGAAGTATATCGCAGCGAAGAAGCCACTCTATTTCGCCTTTGTGGATCTGAAGAAAACTTTCGATCGAGTGCCAAGAAAAGTCCTCTGGTGTCGAGGAATGGGCGATACACCAGTGCCAGGAGCCGCGTGCGGGTCAACGGACAGTACAGTAAGGAGTTTGGAGTCGGAGTGGTTGTGCATCAAGGTTCAGTACTCAGCCCGCTGCTCTTCATCATGGTTCTGGAGGCGCTGTCACGCGAGTTCCGCATTGGCGTGCATATGGAGATTCTGTACTCTGATGACCTTGTAAATATCGCTGACTCCATGGGGGAGTGCATCACCAAGCTGAAGGCCTGGAAGGCAAACATCGAGGAGAAAGGTTTGCGAGTAAACATGAAGAAGACTAAGATTCTAGACTCCGGTCTTGGCCTAGACCAGTTGCAGGACTCCGGCAAGTACCCCTGCGCAGTGTGTCGCAGAGAAGTACGCTCAAACTCGATTAGGTGCTCCCAATATAAACTCTGGGTACACAAGAAGTGTTGTGGCATTGCTGGGAGACTGTCTGCAGATCCGGAATTTGTCTGTCCAAGATGGTGGTGAGGCTCGTCCAATCGATGGAAGGCCTGAAACCCAACTGGACGTGGACGGAACCTTGCTGGATGTCGCTGTTACCTGGGAGATAAGCTGTGTGCGGGAGGAGGTTGTGAACGTGCCATCACTGCCAGATTTTGCGCAGCTTGGGGCAAGTTCAGGAGACTTATACCCATCCTGACAAGTAGACACTTGTCGCCAAGATCCGTGGCAAGATGTTCACTGCCTGCGTCGGTTCGACCATGCTCCATGGTAGTGAGACATGGGCACCAAATGCCCTGGACTTGCAGCGTCTCCGCCGAAATGATCGTTCAATGATTCGCTGGATCTGTGGAACCAAACTGGATGATGACATTTCCACGGCTGTACTTCACCAGAAACTGGGGGTCGTTGACATCACGTCTGTCCTACGAACACGACGTCTCAGGTGGTTCGTACACGTGCAACGTGCCTCGTCATGCATCAACTCCGTCACCAGGATGAAAATCCCCGGCCGCAGAGGTAGAGGGAGACCCAGAAAGACGTGGTCAGAGTGTGAGTAATGATGTTAATATCTGCAACCTGTTTGGCACCGATCCGCGGGACAGGGAAGGATGGAGAGCAGGAGTTAGACGTTGCCAGGTGTTGCCAACCCCGGTGACTGGGACTACCGCAGCACCTTATACCAAAACCGGTTATCATGATGATGATGATGATTTCGTTCTCTGGGCCCTAGGTGTCCCTCATTTTGGTTCACAATGAAGTGTGAAGTTCTCGGTGTAAAGTGAAGGAACTTTGGCGTAGGCTGCCTTGTTTTTCCCGCCCAATTTTTGGTGCCTCGAAGATAGCTAGCAAGGGGGTCAAATGTAGTATCGTATTAAAGCACTGTTAATTAAACTTCGGCTTCCAGCAAAAACTCCAGAGAAATTGGTCTGAATTTTTCCGTTTTTCAGACCGAATTTTTAGATGACAAGATGCGAACTTCCAATTTTCTGCGCTGCGGTTTATACATTTCAAAGATATTTTTGCGTTTGATTTTTGAAAATGAGGTTTTGAATTATGGGCGGCAGTGGAAAAAAGCCCTGGTTTTGGTAAAGAACCTGAGGATAATGTCGACTGGATTTATTCTGGTTCTCACGTGACATTTCGAAATTAGTTGTTCAAGAGTCGGTGAACGTAGTTCAGACTCTTATATACAGGGTGATCCAAAACCTATGAAACTGAATTGACGTAGACCCATAAAAATTTAACATGAAGAAATGTAGAAATTTGATGATTCATAAAAGAATAATCATTTTAAGAGATGCTGGAAATTTTTTCTGCGATTTCCTTGTCATTTTATAATGCGTTCGCGGGCTAAAGCTGATAAAATTTGAGACCGTGTGGAGTTAAAATCTTGATACTGTGTTAAAAATTACAAATAAAACGTTTCTCTCATTCCGTTCTGTTATTTTCTGCAGTCTACACTTTGTAGGGAAAAAACTTCAAATCTCGCATCACAATCTGCCATAAACTGGTGTAGGAGAGAGATGTCGAGTGTTCTTCATGATCGACTTCTTATTTAGCAGGCTTGATTTAGGGTTGTTTTCATAGTGTTTTTTGAAACTCTGAGAATTTTCATTAAGAAACTTTGGACCCACACCTCTGTTGGTAACCTGTCTCGGAAACGTTCCCATTCGCGTCGAAAATCTGCTAGAGTAATCTTGCTCTTGCCTGTTTGCTTCCCCAGTATGGCGTATTTTTCGAGAAACGTACGCTTTGCTACATTTGTAGACAATCCTTCAGCAAACTGACAAAAAATAAATTAGCTTTTCATCTGTTATTTTCATATCTGCGAGATTTAAGAAATTAGCGTGAATAATTCTTTAAAGCTTGATTAATAATCAAGAAAATGGCGCCCTTTTTTATGTTTCTTTGGAAAAATTATTTGTTTTCGAGTTGTGAAAATGATTTCTTACAGAAAGACATCTAAGACGTTCAGTTTTGATAACTCGAAAACAAATAATTTTTCAAGAAAGAACGAAAAGAACGTCTCAGATGTCTTTCTGTAAGAAATCATTTCACAAGTCAGTTCAGTTAGCAATGACAGTCTTTTCAAAAAAGTGTCATAGGTTATAAGTTGCCCTGTAGGTCGTTACGATTTTTTTTTTGTTTATATTCAGGCTGAAATTCACTTTTTCGGGGATTTTTTTCTTCAATTTTTTTCATTTCCTTTTTTGAATGGAAGGCAAATTTCAGTATTGAACATCGAAATTGTAAAAGTAAAGAAAAACGTGATCGACTTTTTATTATGAAAGTAGATTTTAATTTTCAGATTTCTCAGCGAAATGTAATATTTACTTATTGATCTTGTTTTCTCATATTGGGTGAATTTTGTCAAAAAGTGGCAATTCACCACAAATAGTTCTGGAAATTCATCTATTTTTTGAAGTTAATTCGAAAAAGTATCAGGTATCCTGAGTTTTATAGATCAGTAACCCGAGTGTAACTGCACAATTTAATAAAATTCAGGTGAGAAAATAGTGAGTGTGCAGTGAGGAGTTGGACTGTTAACATCAATACCTGGCCAGCAGTAACGTCGCATTACCTTTCGTGTTCTTTGAAGTTCGAAAGTTTTTTCAAAGTCAGTATTTTTTGTTTACTTGCGTTCATTGACACTTCTTCAACTTTCTGTTGGCTATGTTTCCGAAGCGAACCGCGGTCTCTACGTTACAAGGTCGTGTTTTCAACCAAGTTTCAAATTTTTTCCATTTTTCGCTTTCCTTAAATTTTGCTTATGTTGAGAGTTGTTTTTGTTACGAGTTGGCGCGGTGCCTTTTTTCGTACATGATGTTATCGGGATCTTGTTAACAATCTCCCCCTTTTGGACCTGTTAACTATTCCCCCTCCCCCCTATGCATGTATTATTTTTGACAACCATTTCTGTATAAAATATGCTTTTCAAAAATGTCAACAATCAAGTGGGCTTTCGTTTTCGCGCTCGTATTTGTATTACTCACTTTTTATGTGATACCCACGTAAAAACTTTTAAATATTTTTTCTGAAAATTGTTTTAAGCTATTGAAAATAAGACAGCCAAAGTTGAATTTCTGAAAATCGAAATAGGGGAGAAATAGTTAACAAGATCCTGTAATCGTAGTCCATCACTTAATGTTGCAGACGTTCTTCAACAAATTCGAGCTGTACTACGTGTCTATCCCAGTAGTGCTCGGAATATTCTGTGTGAGTCTCACTTGGGCTCTTAGAGTGGCAGGGGTCACCAAACAGTCCCTCTACAACACCCTCACTCTAGCAGATGCCCCAATGGTCTCTTCTTCATTCAGAAGCCAGAGATCCTCAAACACACCGACGACACCGCACAACTGAAATACAATTACTGAAATACTGAAAAAGAACTCTTTGCCAGTATAGTAATTCCCTTTAAATTCATATGCCCTGATTTCTTAAAAAAATCTTTTTGTGAACATGGGGCTCCCTGGGGCTTCTGGGGAATTATTCGAACGTTCTGCAGATTAGAAAATTCGATTAGAAAATTCATCAAGAGCTCTAACTCTAAATAAAGTTGCTATTGATTGTAATATTTGATTAGCTAAGTGTTTCATTCAACCTTAACGTTAGTATTTGACACTAGTTTCAAAGCGTCTAAGTTATAGTTTGCTTGAATTATGTCGTGTATAAAACGCTTTATATTAATCTTCTTGTATACTTTATATTAATCGTCTTGTTCTTTTATTCAAGAACTTTTGAGAAAATATCTAGCAAGACGTGTTTACTCGTAATACACATAAAGAAAGAAAGAAAGAATTTATTTCTCATTGTTAATGGTAAATATGCATACATACAACGAGAATTTAAATATGAAGCACCAGAAACAGTGAGTGGACAGTTAACGAACCCAATTGGGTTACAGAGCATTGCCCGTTTTATCAAATGTAAGACGAAATTTGAGATCTTCAAAGACAAGGAAAAATATATAAATCTGAAAACTTAAAAGAAAATATTGGGAAAAAAAGTACTCAGGTTTGAATAAACATAAAGCAGCAGATTTCAGGCATTGTCTAGACAGGTATCTAGGCATTGTCTAGACAGATTAAAGCCCTTGTCTAGGGTATGTCGACCTTTTTTGAACTCTCCCTAGTCACCAAAAGGACCCTCCCTGTTTTGGTCAAACTTTCTGCGCTGCAGGCAAAGTTTTGGAAAAAAAATAGGCGTTTTTTTGCACTTTTTGGAAATTTTTGACCAAAAAATTGCGTTTTTTCGGCGCGCGCTCCCCCTCAAAATTAATATATATTGAAACGTTTCAGGTTCCGTCGCCACATCGGATTTCTCAAAATAGTACAAAGGTGGGACCCTTTGGGTCGGCAAGGGTTCGAAGCCCGGGGAGGGGGGGGGGGGGGGGGTGGTTGTGCGCCACCCCCCCTTGATCCGCCCCTGGTCTCAGGGGAGAATTTAGGGGCGCTATTGTTTAGGAGTGTCTCAGGGGCGCCAATATATACTAATTTTCAGGGGGAGCAAGCGCGGAAAAAAGCGATTTTTTGGTCAAAATTTACCAAAAAGTGCCTAAAAACGCTTTTTTTGGTCTGTTTTTTCTAAATTTTGCCTGCGACGCAAAAAATTTGGCCAAACAGAGCCTTTTTAATGCTTTGGGAGAGCTCGGAAATTCAATTTGCTCGACCAAAAGACAAAATTTTTTGAAAATCATCTCCCCCTCGAGAGAGCCCAAGATTAGCCCCTGAAATGTCTTATAATCGGGACCCAGACTTTTTTTACCGTAAACAACTTTTACACATTTTTTTTATTCACTTCTTCTCTTCTCTTAACATTTTCCAGTAGCGTCGTCGCCTTTCCATTAACACCGTCGCCGGTAACGCGTTGCCTTTGCACCCTAAAAACGGGTTCGAGTCTCGGCCAGATCTTTTTTTCAGCATGTATGCACTTGCAGTTTTTTCCGGTAAAAATTGAACTTTTGGAATTTCGTTGTTCTGCTCAAGTTTTGTCTTGCGCTGTAAGAAATTTTCATTTTAATTACAAGAACAAAATGTTCATTCTAAATTCTTTCTAGGCTATTTTTTCCTTGGATCAACTTGTGTCTGCTCAAAGATTGTCTGCTTTGTTTCTTCTTCGTTTATTTTGTTTCATTGCTAATTGAATTTTCAAAAGTGTGGCATATTTGCTTAGAATGAATTTCTATCGTGACATACGAAATTTTAGTTTTTGGTAGACCTGGTTTCTTTTTCATTTTTTTAAATTACAGGGATTTTTTTCGTATTATAGGAATGATTTCAGATAGCGTTTTCTTCCATGGAATCATTCACGTAAAAATAATGGATGCTGGAGTGAAATTAGCTGGATTATCAATTGTTTCTGGGACTTCATTATGTGAGAGTTTTTATGCCCGGACTTTGGAATCATGCAAGTGTATGCCAAACCCAAGTTGAAGCCAAATAAAACAAAAGTTTAGCGATGCCAAAACAACCTGTAAAATGAACAATAAAACATGTTTGCCTTTAGCCAGGATCCAATAAAACAATTAATTGTAATAGCTGCGCGTCTCTATGTATAA